ATATATATAAAATCAGGGGTGTGGAATTCGTATCGCCCGACACATGTAGTTCCGGGCACCTGGCACGACTGGGGTGTCATTAGAAAATAATGGCAATGCCAGCGCAATCGGCAGTGGTGTGCGATCCGTGACTGCACGGTCATCATGCGCGAAACCGAGCGGATGGCTGGGTGGTTACGGTGGTTACGGAATCGGCATGTACAGCTCCGTGTTGCGTGCAGGGCCGTATCATGCAGCTCCCGGGAAGGACAGGTGCTGCGTGTGATTTAGTACGCAGCCCCTGTCTTTCTCTCTAGAGGTTTGTTTTGCAGCCAGAGATGCTTCTGGGACAACCTCCGTTTTTCATTTCTCCGGAATTGGGCTTTAAATTAGAAATAGAGGACACATTAAAAATATTTAGGGGTGATTTACATCTATGCATTTTTCATTGAAATCAATAGAAAAGCCTAAAAACATGTGTCAGCGCGTGTTAATATGCGTTGTAGTGCACTTTTCTCCACGAACACACAGTCACAGCAAGGCAAACTACTCTCCTCCTCCCTTCTCTCTTCTCCAGGCTAGTAGATGGACATCTGCTGGAAAGCGCTCTGTCCCTTGTGATCTTGTACTGGACAGGAAGTTCAGGGAAGCAGAGCTAAGAGAGATGGACTCTGCTTGGGCAAATATATAAGGAAGTATTTTTCTGGTCAATGTATATTTGATCTGGATTCGTTATTAAAAAAAAAGTGGATGATGACGGTCCCTCTGGAGTATGTACTCCTGTACATACATTGCATAATTGGTGTATGCATTTGGGGAGAAAGGGGGGGTCACTCTTATTTCTCTTTATATTTACGTGAGGGCTGCAACCAACGAATCGATTAATCAATAATGAGAATAGTTGTCAGCTATTCTCATTATCGATTAGTTGGTTGGATCCCCTAGCTCCCTCCTCCACACTGAGAGGAGGGCACAGCAAGCAGTGGGCGGGTACAATAGTCAGCCTGCTATTGGCTATTGCAACTTGAAATGGCAGCTGTCATTCCCTGGCTGAAGTTATTCAAGCTCCATGTGCTTACAATACAATTAAAACATTTTTTTTAAATAAAAGATGGGATATAGTCATTTTCGGTTTCGGCCTGACAAATTCTGCTGCTGGAGGTGCGTTCCAGTGCCATTCATTTCAATGGCACCCCAAATGCACCTCCCACCCACAGTGTAATTGCCCACACTGGAACGCACGGTACCACAACGCTGTGCGTTCCAGTGCAGTGTGATTGCAAAAAATTGTGCATGCTGTTTTATTCTGAAGTAAACTGTATGTCTTTAACACTGCATTTGTGTATTTTATTTTAAATTAAGGATGGAATTTCATTTGTTTTTCCGATTAATCGAAAACAAATTATTGGCCAACTAATCGATTATGAAAATAATCATTAGTTGCAGGCCTAGTTTACATTATATATTAATATGCCATATTACTCTGAGGGGGCCCTATGTGATAGAACAGTATCAGTGTCAGGTGACTTTTTTTTTTAGTTTTGGATAGAGTAAGGAAGGATTATAACCACTGTCAGCTTTTTATTTGCCATCTGTGTACTTTGTCTAATAGCCACAACAGGAAGTTAGTGGAAATCCCTCCAAAGAGAAGGAAATCCCTGGCGGTCAGCAGGGTCACCATAAACTAGTATTCCCCATTGGACGTTTCCTATTCCTGTTCTGATGACAACCCAAATTGTGGGATTTTCTTTCACTTTCAGTGATCACGGTCGTTCTCCTGATTAAGGACACAGCAATAAAAATCTGACAGGGGTTCTAATCCCTCTCCGCTCTATTCAAAACTAAAGAAAAAAGCTTTAGCTTCAGTTGCACTTTACACTCAAGGTGCTTCTGAATGAAACATAAAAGCAGAACCTTTGACTTCCTTGTCATTGATGTTACACAAAAGCACAATGTCATCATACATCTTTTCCAGTCTGAGCCAGATGAAAATACAGTTTGAATGTGCTTTATAGAAGAATGCACAGAATTGGGCTTATACCACGACCGCCCTTGGCCTGCATGCTGGAAATTGATCTAGGCACAGATTGTCCAGAACAGTCCATGGCTGAAGTATCATTTGGAGAACACGTCACATCTAAAGAGAAGAGCACATCTACATACCAATTACCCCCCGCCCCCCACACACACACACACACCCCAACAATCTACCCAGATAATCGCCGCTTAATAATTTATCAGAAAACAGCAAAAGATTTCTTGATATATGTAGAATCTCATCGTCCGAGCTGAATTGTATCAATGCAGAGTTACATTGCTCAGTCATAAAAACTGTATACAACACTAACACTGGGATAAGAAAGAGGAAATAAACCCAAAAACATTTTACACTTTTTATGGGACTTTTTTTTTTTAAGGTAGAAGTAAACAAATCCATCTAAACAAATATAAAATTGTACAATGTATTAGGATATGTATAAAAACAGATCATGAAGCCATCATACAAAATTCCCCTCCATTTCTAAACTTGAAGGCCCACCAATGTATACTGCATGGCAAAGAAAAAGTCACACACTCTAATGTTTAGTTGGACCGCCTTTAGCTTTGATTATGGCACACATTCGCCGTGGCATTGTTTTGATAACCTTACGCAATGTCACAGCATTTATTGCCTTCCAGAGTTGCATACAGTTTTCACCAAGATCTTGTAGTGATGATGGGAGAGTTGGACCACTGTGTAAAGTCTTCTCCAGCACATTCCAAAGATTCTCGATGGGGTTAAGGTCTGGACCCTGTGGTGGCCAATCCATGTGTGAAAATGATGTCTCATGCTCCCTGAAGCACTCTTTCACAACATATATGATGTCTGTATGTCAAGGTAAGGACTAATAAATACTAGTGGGTCGGCATTCTTGAGGAAATAATACTAACTCTTTGGGACTAAACCCATACAATCAATAAAAAATGTACTTAATATTACTACAAAGCAATGAGAAGATAGACAGACCTGTGTATAAGACAAATACAACACAGAGAGCAATCCCTAATGGAAGTGTAATTATTCCAGAATACACAGACCGAGTATAATAATATCACCCTAGGGAGTATAATACACGTTCTTCGTCTGCTCTGTGTGATCACTGAGACTGTGGCGCTGTAACCACAGCGCCACCTGTCTCAGCTATCAGGAACTACACAGAACATCAGTTCTGTGTTGGAGGGCAGGTTCCATAAAGAGAACCTGTCACCTCCAAACTATCACATAAAGGCTTTTAAACCCCTATGTGATAGAAATTAAATTAATTGGGGGGGAAAAAAAAGTTTGAAAAAATGAAAAATAAAATGTTTTAAAAAATTGTAAAAGTTATTAAAAAAAAGTAAAAAATAAATATAAAAAAATGTAAAAAAATAAAAGTGACAAAGTAAAAAATAAAATTAAAAAAATTAAAACAAACCCTGCTGCCCCTCGCCATCTGCATGCAAATAAACGTACAGGACATTGTGTGTGTCCGTTGAGTGCTGCCGCCATTTCACTGTGTGCCATATTGTCGTAGCCAGGCAGCAGAACTCTCTCACACGCACAATGTGCATTAAAGGGTAAGTTCACTTCCCCAGATAATATGGGAAAATGGAATTACTCGATCAAATCTGGCCCGGCCTCTCCCAAACCCCCCACCCTCTCGGCTATACTTAGGAAGATTTCCTCTGACCAGCAGTGAGATAGGGGAACATGGAGCCAGCTTCCCGTGCAATCAGGAAACGGGGCAGCGACTGACCCGCTTCCAAGTTTCCTGATTGGCCGGGAAGCCAGCTCCATGCCAACGGACATACCGATACTCAGTGAGTACCGAAAGCAAAATATCGGTACTCGATACCCACCCAAAAATTGGTATTGGTGCATCCCTAGTTTTAATTAAAACTATTTTTTTTGTATTGGGACAAGTAGATTGTCATGAGGAACAAGTAGATTCGGCCCCCGCTTTAGCCCTTGGACAAGTCGTTTTTTCAAAAATGTCCACACCCCTGATGTTACATAGACCCGGGTATAACAACATCACCGCACGGAGTATAATACATAGACCCGGGTATAACAACATCACCGCACGGAGTATAATACATAGACCCGGGTATAACAACATCACCGTACAGAGTATAATACATAGACCCGGGTATAACAACATCACCGTACAGTACCGAAAGCAAAATATCGGTACTCGATACCCACCCAAAAATTGGTATTGGTGCATCCCTAGTTTTAATTAAAACTATTTTTTTTGTATTGGGACAAGTAGATTGTCATGAGGAACAAGTAGATTCGGCCCCCGCTTTAGCCCTTGGACAAGTCGTTTTTTCAAAAATGTCCACACCCCTGATGTTACATAGACCCGGGTATAACAACATCACCACACCCCTGATGTTACATAGACCCGGGTATAACAACATCACCGCACGGAGTATAATACATAGACCCGGGTATAACAACATCACCGCACGGAGTATAATACATAGACCCGGGTATAACAACATCACCGTACGGAGTATAATACATAGACCCGGGTATAACAACATCACCGTACAGAGTATAATACATAGACCCGGGTATAACAACATCACCGTATGGAGTATAATACATAAGTAGAGTATAATAACATCACCATACGGAGTATAAAACACAGACAGAGTATGATAATATCACCATACGGAGTATAATACCCAAGTATGGCAGTAGCAGTGTTGTGTAGTGTATATAGTTTGATATATAATACACAGGTATGGCAGTAGCAGTGTTGTGTAGTGTGTATAGTATGATATATAATACACAGGTATGGCAGTAGTGTTGTGAAGAGTGTGTTATATGTACACACAGGTATGGTGGTGGTGGTGGTAGTAGTAGTAGTAGTAGTGTTGTGCGTTACATGTATACACAGGTATGGCAGTAGTAGTGTTGTGTGTTATATGTATACACAGGTACGGTGGTGGTGATCTCCCTGTAGAGAGCTGAGTACACTGCAGACACTTACCGGCTGTCTCGGTGTTTCTGGCCCTCTGTACATCCACTCTTGTCAGACTGTCACGTGACCCTGCACTCCGTGTCCTGTGGTAGGACAGCAGTTCTGCCAATCAGAGCACAGCATCTAGAAGGGAGCACTTCCTGTTCCGCCTTCACCATGTGACACTCTGACACAATGTGCACAGAGTCCAGGCTGGTGGCTTCGTGTAGTGAGAGTGTCCTGACATGTAAGCACAGGCTGTACGCACGACGTCTACTGCAGGGGGGACGAGGAGGAGAGGCTATAAAAGGCAGCCGGGAATGTGCAGGTTTTCTGTGATGAAGTGGGAGCACATGGATGCGAATCACACAGGATCCGACCTGTGGGGTGTTACTTGGGGAATTTGATACAAAGCAAGCTGTTGGGCCGGGGGTGCAGGACAACAAGAGGGCACAGCCAGATCGGGGGTTGGAAATTGGGTACAGGCAACAGTAAGTCAAGTGCCACAGTGATAGTAATCAGAGGTGCAGAAACTGTCAATTCAGCAGCGGTCACAATAGGGGTAAGTCATGTAAAGGCAGAACAAGTTTCCAGCGGACCTTAGGAGCACATGACAGGGAAGAACAACAAGTCTAAACAGCACACAACAGCGAGCAACAATAAGTCTCAGCAGCATACAACAGGGAGGAATAACAATTCTCAGCACATGACCGAGAGGAACAACAAGTCTCAGCACACCTCAGCAGCACAGGACACGGAGGAACAAGTCTCAGCAGCACACGAGAGGGAGGAACAACAAGTCTCAGTGACACATGACAGGGAGGAACAACAAGTCTCAGCAGCACATGAAAGGGAGAAACAACAGGTCTCAGCAGCACATGACAGGGAGAAACAACAGGTCTCAGCAGCACAAGACAGAGGAACAACAAGTCTCAGCAGCACATGACAGGGAGAAACAACAGGTCTCAGCAGCACAAGACAGAGGAACAACAAGTCTCAGCAGCACATGACAGGGAGAAACAACAGGTCTCAGCAGCACAAGACAGAGGAACAACAAGTCTCAGCAGCATGCAACAGGGTTAGGGTTACTTTTTTTTTTTTTAAATCCAGTCTCAGCGCAGCCTCTGGTCTGCCAATGACAGTGAAGAACACTGCCTTAAAGTGACATTAAAGTCAAAAAAATGTTTCCCTCCTCCCAATGTTAATGTCAGCACTTACCCTAAATGATGTCTCTTAATCCGATCTTCTTTCATGATGTTTTCATCTGTCCCTCCAGCGGTGCGGCGTCTCTCCAATCCAGCGCTGACTCCTCTGTCCTTGCAGGCACTTCCGATCCCGCGGTGTCTGCATGCGGGTGCACGCGTCCATAGACTTACCTTGCGTCTCTGCTCGTCTCCCGGCCGAAAATCCGAACTGCGCATGCGCCCGCCCGAAGATGCTTTGCGGCCGCCCGAGCAGTTTCGGATTGTCGGACAGGAGCGTGCAGCGATAACGGGGTTAAGTTTAAACCGCTGTTAAAGCGTTTTTTTTTTTCACTTTTTGCATATATCTACTGCTTGCCAGCAGTAGATATATGCAAAAAGTGAAAAAAAACCGCTTGCCAGCAGTAGATATAGGCAAAAAAAAAACGGAGGGTTTAGAAACCCTTTAAGCTCACCAGACTTTAACCCTATTGCTGCCAAAGCTTTTTTGTTTTTTCCATGCGTTACAATCCACATTTTAGGCCTGAAAATTAATTAAACTCCTTTTAGAGTTATATATTTCCTGAAAGCACAGTCCCTGCAACTTTTTATCAAAAGCCAACATTTCAGCAATAATTACACAATGTAATCTTTGTGAGCAAAAACATAATACCCGATTTTTTGTAAAATATAAAAAATGAGGTTATGCCGAGTAAACAGATACCCTTCAGGCCAAGCTTACAAATTGTGTGTGCCTGTGAAACAGTGACAAAATACCATACCCCAAATTGTCCATAGGCGTTGCTTTCAAAGCCTGGACAGGTCATCAGTTTAGAGTTAACCATTTTTTTTTTAACCTGATTACGTTCATATGGGGTTTCTCACAAGCCATCTATGTGATAGCATATTAGGTGCTGACATTAGCGGCATATTCCAATTTTCATCAATTTCACCCAACATTTTCAGCATCCTGTGTGAATATTTGGGAGCTGTAGCCTGTTATCTTGTTTCTGGCTATAACAAGTGCTTATGTATGAAAAGTACGCTCACAAGAATATTGCCTATGGGTGATAGCAACCACACACCTTCTAGGGAAGAGATTTGAATTATCCAGAACATGAATTTGGATCCCCATGTGCTTTAAACTGGTGACTTCTGTCAGAATTTGAATGATCGGTAAATTTTGTCGCTTACCCTGAATGTCCTGCAGAGCTGATGATCCTTATCAGCAGACAGGAATAGGAGGGTTCCTGATTACCCAAACCTTCACTATAAAAGATGGGGGGCCAAGCAGCCATAGTGTCAGTGTGTAAAGTTGCTTTTGTAAGGCTGGCCACATACGCTTAGAATTTCTCATGCTCGGCCCCGCAGGCTGAACAAGAGAAATCCATAGATTCCGCAATCCATGCTAAGCAGCATGGAGGGAGGAAAACTCATTTCCATCTGTTGTATTCAGCAGCCGCTGCTGATACTATAATAGTGTCTGCATCAGTTTGGCTGAGAATTTTCAGAACGACTCCTTCAACAAAGGTAGATTGAAAAATTCACTAGGGCCCCACAATGCTCACCTGATTCAGCAGGGCTTGGACAAAATTCGAGCATTGTATGGCCAGCTTTAGAGGACGTAAAAAGCTGACAAAGTGCATTGGGAGAGCTAAGTTAGATGAATCGGGGTACATTGTCATGTGTGACCCCTCCTGTCTTCACAGATATGTTCTTTACCCCATGAGTCCCCTTTATGACTACTATACAGTATAGTGGGTGGTATTTTTGTGGTTTATATTAGGGATGCACCGTTACCGATACTAGCATCGGTGCCAATACCGAGTATTTGGGCGAGTACTCATACTCGCCCAAATGCTCAGATACTTTCCCCGATAGCGGATCTTCCAGGCAGAGGGAGATTTCCGGCAGTGCTGCGAGGGAACATGGAGCCGGCTTCCTGGCCAATCAGGAAGCTAGGTGGCAAGTAATGACGCGTCGCCCCGTTTCCTGATTGGCCGAGAAGCCGGCTCAATGCTGATTGGCCAGGAAGACAGCTTTCCAGCCAATCAGCATTGAGCCGGCCAAACAGCATGGAGCCGGCTTCCTGGCCAATCAGGAATCGGGGCAGTGGGTAATGATTCATTATATACTCCACAACTAAGTTCACGTTTGCATGAAATGCATATAAGAAGCTCTCCTGTTGTCTCCTGTTTCCTGAAATGTCTTGCTTGATTATAATAAATAGAAGCCACAATTTATTTTGAAGTGTCGCCACCCTTTTTTTTGTGCTGCATCAAAGCATAAAACATTGGGGCTTTTCAGGTGCACAACATATAAATATAAAACACTACATTTATTAATTTGCCATTAAAATACATACGCACATAACAAATATTGATCATCATAAAATACAGTGTGAGCTCTAATTGGTGAGAATTGCCAAAACAGGCCAAGTCAGCTGTTAGTATACTCAGAATGTTCAACCACAAAACAGACAGCTAGTGTAGTCCCCACAGGTGACTTTCTGGAGTTGGTGAAGTCTAATGCTGTGACTTGGTGCTAGTATTCTACGCGTTTCACCCCAACAGGGGCTTTCTCAGGACACGGCGATCTGTGCACTTCAAATAAGGATACAAAGATCACTAAATGAGTGGACTAAGTGATCTTTGTGTCCTTATACTACATAAGCTGTCTATTCTGTGGTTGAACATTCTGAGTATGCTGACAGCTGACTTGGCCTCTCACCAATTAGAGCTCACACTGTATTTTATTTGATTATCTGATCTATCCAATGTACACTATATTGCCAAAAGTATTGGGACGCCTGCCTTTACACGCACATGAACTTTAATGGCATCCCAGAACTTAGTCCGTAGGGTTCAATATTGAGTTGGCCCACTATAACGGCTTCAACTCTTCTGGGAAGGCGTCCAGAAGGTTTAGGAGTCTTCCCTTCTTCTCAGGAGGAGGACTGGTAGTGGGAGAAAGAGAAAATATTTATCATAGGGAGAGTCAACACTCTTGCAGTGGGCAAAGCTCACCTAGGTGCTGTGCAGAGGAGAGCAGCCCAGCTCTAAAAGAGGGGCCGAAGGGTAAGAAATATGCTGGAAGAGGGAAAAGGTGCTTAAGGGCAGGTACAGCAGACACCAGGGAGCAGCTTTCAAGAGCCATATGGGAACGTAAGCAGTTTAGGGGCAGTTGTTACCTTGAAAGGGAGAAAATGTGGGTGACCTTGAGTAGAACCCACCACTGTGGAGCTTTTCACTTTGACAACAGTGCAGTTGTGTGCAATGGCTAGGTCTTGGCAAGAGTGGAAGCCACTTTGCGAGTACCTGAGTTCCGCGCGATTTTGTGCTGAACGGCTTTGCGCGATATTGAGTGACAATGCACATTTTATCGCGCTACATAGCGCGTTTTTTGGGCGGGACTTCGTCGCTGCTACATTGGGCTGTAACCAATCTACAGCGATCTTGATGTGACATTCTTTCCTTACATTTTGCAGTGCAAAAAGTGACCCTTCTGTCACGCGATATCGCGCGACCAAGTCGCGCAATATTGCCGGTAATGTGCAATTTCGCGCAACACCATTGAGTCTATTGGGGCCAAATCGCACGACATCCGCCGAAAAAAGGGTAATGTACGAGCTACAAGCGACATTGAGCTGTGAACAGCTCCATTGGAATGCATTGGACAAGCTACATAGAGCATGATTTCGCGGCAGAAATCGCACGATAAACCGATATTTTATAGATGGCTTCTTATACAAAAGTTTCGATATCCTTGAGTCTCTGGACAGACAATTCCAGTGTTTAGTCAAAATCTTTGATAAAGTCATTAGTCATTCTCAGTTGGGGTCATAATAACCTACATTGGATATTTATTATTACTCAGCCGTGGTTAGGATAGAACTTTAGAATTTTAAGTGTTTGTATATCTGCATTTTTATGGTTGATGAATTTAGATAATAAAA